GGCTATGGCATCTCCTGCATGCTATCTGCTGCTGCTGCTGCTGCGGCTGCTGCTCGCAGTCAAAAAAGCAAACGCTGCCGCCCCTACCGCAGTGCATGCAGCAGCTCTGCTGCTGCAGCAGCAGCACGTCTGCTGTCGGGGCTGTGGGGCCGCAGCAGCAAGTTGCTGCGCTGGTGCTGCTGCAGCGGCTGCCCCACGAAGAAACCTCCCACTGATGGTTTAGAGCAGATAAAGCCTCTTGCTGCTGCTGTTGCTGCTGCTGCTGCTGCTGCTGTTCGTTCCGCCGCAGCAAACGAAGATGCTGCTCCTGCTGCTCCAGTTGCTGCACGAGCAACGCGACAGAAGGAGAGCTGCTGCTGCTGTTGCTGCTGCTGCTGCTGCGTTCGCCTGTCTTGCTGCCTCGGTTGCTGTTGCTGCAGTAGCTGCTGCTCCAGTCAGCTTGCTCTCCTGCTGCACTTGCTGCTGCTGCTGCTGCAGTGGAGGCTGCAGCGGCTGCAGAGCGCTCCGCATTCTCTTGCTGCAGCTGCTCGAGCCTCAGCCGAAGCTGCTGCTCCTCACACCGGAGGCGGTCCCTTTGCTGCTGCAGAAGTTGCTGCTGCAGCAGAAGCTGCTGCTGCTGCAGCGGCAGCAGAAGTTGCTGCTGCTGCTGCTGCTGCTGCGAGGGCAGCAGACACTCATGACCTCCAAGGTACTGCGTCTGCGGCTTTTCGAAAACAGCGCTCTGCTGTTGCTGCTGCTGCTGATGCTGCTGTTGTTGTTGCTGCTGCTGCTGTTGCTGCTTCTGCTGCTTAGGCGAAGTGGATGGGCATGGTGATCCCTCTCTATCTAGGCTGCTGCTGCTCTTGCGGCTGCAGACAGCAGCAGCAGCAGCAACAGCAGTAGCCTGAAGCAGGGAGGGCGGCGCTCCTAAGCCCAAATCAACAGCTGCAGCAGCGGCTGGCTCTGCTGCTGCATCTGCTGCAGCTGCTGCTGCTGCTGCATGAAGCTCAGCGAAACTGGCGCCGTAGTTTTGCTGTTGTTGTTGCTGGTGCTGCTGCGCTGCAGCTCCAGCGGCAACAACAGCAGCAGCAGCTGCTCGATCTGCTGCTGCTGCTGGAGACTCCCCACATGAGTCTTCTGTCATCCATAAGAGACACCGAAAACGGCCTTCTCTCCATCTGCAGCAGCAGCAGTTGCTGCTGCTGCTGCTGACCTCTTGCCGTGTTGCTGCAGCTGCTGCTGACTTGCTGCTACGGCTACTGCCGGTCTGCTGCTGCTGCGGGG